ATCCCAAGACGACGGTTGGGCGGCAGTAGTCGTCGAGTTCTTCTTTTAGCTTGTTAAAGACGTTTTTCTCCTTCTCGGCGTGGTTTGCAATTCTTCATCGTCCAAAAAGGCATCTAATTTATATTCGTCCTCGTCTTCGTCCTCGGGCAGAGGTCGCATTGGATTCTGAATGTCTTTGTCGAGTTGGGCGAACGCATCCGCAAACTTGTCTTGGGCCAACTGATACGTTTTATCTCCAATGCTTGACATATACTCCACCATTAGACGGACGAGAGTTAGGTTCGACGATACAATGTGGATCAGTGAATCCCTCGACGTTGCTGCAGATGGAGACGGAGATCGGATCGTGCCGTTGGGTTCACGTCAACTTCTCAAAATTTGAGTCATATGCATGGATCGGCATGAGCATGGCCTCAAAATCGTAGACGACAAACCATGGGTATAATCGGTCTTGCACGTGGATGCCTTGTTCCTCTAGTTTGTCGAATCCGGTTTTCGGGTTTCAAATTGTACATGATCTGAACAGTACATTTGAGTTGATATTGCTTCATGTTATCTAACCGGTTGAAATGTCGATCACAGGTCCCTCATTGATACTTTTGGGTGTACGCCGTTAAATTCGAAATGTAAGACAAATGATGGTCGAATTGATTTACGTGCACGGTGTCGTCGTACTGACATCGGGATTTGTAGACGGTAAAGGCTACACCGTCATCCCGTAAATGATAGACGTTGACGTTGGTCTTGAAACAATGTTTGAAATAGGCCATTTGATATATTGGTAAATCCTTGAATATCTTGGCATCGGTTTCGACGTCTAGGTGTTTGTCTAAAGTAAACTGGATCCATTCATCGTACAGTCGTGGTGTGCGATTCCAGTTCATTTTGTTGATGTCCCCTGTGGACGGCCAGACATCGGGAGGTGCATAGATGGTCCTTGTAGCCACTTCCTTTTCTACTTTTGTTCAGAGCGATGATCGATTTAGATACAGTGGTATACTCCGGTAACTGGTTGCCGATGTATCCCAAGGGATAGTTCAAATGGTATAGAACGAACCGGACGTTGGTGATCAGGTAGGGTTTCCATTTCGTATCGGGTAGCTAACGCAAAACGTAATAATTGGTGACATCGAAACGTTGAAGACAGATCGCAGTCTTCAAATCTCTACGTCTTGAAATGTAGACAACTGGAGACGCAGTAATAGAGATTCATTGGCATACGCTCGAAAATAGCGGTATTCATCCGTCTCCGTGTTTCTTGAAAAGAGACCAAATTCCAGGTTGAGTCGAAAGGCTTGCCCTTGTCTATCGTAGATTTGTTGTGCCTGTTCCATCAGTTGTGGGACAGTTAAGTCGTTGGTCAGTGGGACGTTATACGTAGAAGAAACGGAAATTTCCTGGTGATTCTCTAAAATGAGAGGTGCGTTGCTTTCGTATACTTTTCTTCAAATTGTCATCATCGTCGACTTCCCATGGTGCTTGATCATTTTGCCATGGTCGAGATTGAATGGCACCAGCCTCCGTCTGGTAATGTTCCCTCATGCCGTGCAGCTACAGTTGACGTCTGTCCCGAAATTGGGCAGTACATCGACGACACCGATATGAACTGGGTCCACGTTGTGGAGAGGTTGAACTGGGTCCTGGATTCGGTGAGTGTGTACTCGGTCGTTTGAGTTTGCCGCTGTACTTGGGCCAGGTTGAGGAGAATTTATAGATAACTGAAATTAAAATTATCTATAAATGGGAGGTAACGCGGATGTATTAACTTGTTTTCTATGAAATTAATCTCATTTTGACAAATTAACCTTTCGACTTGATAAAACAGGATATTTCGATTCTTTAATTTTAATTTTTTTTTAACTTTACCCCTTTAACATCGCTACAACTTAATCCCTTGAATATCACTACAACTTAATCCCTTGAATATCGCTACAACTTAATTCCTTGAATATCGTTTAAAAATATTGTTAATCTCATTTCGACAACTTTATCTTTCGACCTGATAAAACATGATATTTTGGATGCCTTTGCTTTTTTTTTTTATAACTTAATCCCTTGAATGCCGTTTAAAAATACAATTAATCTCGTTTTAACAACTTAATCTTTCGAATTGATAAAAACAGGATATTTCGATCCTAAGAAAATGATTTACAACTTAATTCCTTGAATGTCGTTTAATATCTTCATTTTAACCCGATATAACATACTTTATACTTTTCTTGATAAATTTAAAATCAAATTACCTGACATGTATATCGATGTTTCTTTAAATCTTGCTTCTGTTTATATTTCTTCTCGCAAAAAATACACTGATATTTATTTCCTGAATGAAGAGATGTGACGTGAAGGTCACAATCACTCTTGGTCTTGAAGGATAAGTCATAGTATTTGTACGTTAGCGTGCACTTACGACCGTGCTCCGAGTGCTTATCTTTCCTGTTGAAAAACCCTTAATCTATATTACTGGTGACGATGTTGAGCACATCAATCCTATAGAACTTGAAATAAAGCATGGAACAGATACAGCTAAATATGCCTAATATCGTGATTTACATCTAAAAATTAACAATAAGTGTCTGTTGACCACAAAACTTTACGACAACAGAGATGATTTCAGCTTCCCAATTGTGAACTTCTATTTCTATGTAGCAACATTCTAGCAGCACCAGCATCTTGAGTTTTTTTTCTCCCAGATATTCCAAAGCTTGCATTTCCTTTCAGGATTTCCTAGATAGAGGGTTGCTGCTTACAAGGAAGCTATTGAACCCAGTGTTCTAAGTGGTGAAGTTGAATTCATTGCTTCAAACATTTTACGGTAGCCATCTATAGTTGGTTGACCGTTATAGAATATCTGTTTCACAGACGACGACGGGTATGTTCGAATTATTGCAACCACAATCCCGTCCTCTTTTTCTCAAATCTGACCTACTGAATTAAACTTATCACCGGGTTTGTACTTACTTGAATAACACGCCGGATGCCACTTGGGGAGCAGGATCTGTTTACCCTTCCGTAGCACTGGAGATCACCTCGGGAGGTTCGTGTTGGTCAGTCTTTAGTTTTCTATGTTGTGTTTTGTGTACTGTTGTTCGTCCTTCGTTGTTTTTCGTTTTTTTACCATGGCATTATCAGTTTGTTTTGAAATTCGACTTACGAGTTTGAAAGTCCCTTTGGTATCTTTCGTCTATTTTTTAATATTTTTTATGTAAATGTTTGCCCTGCTTCTGGCCCCTAAAATTGCAGTCTATTATGTGTAAATGTGTAACCTCCCAAACCCAATGTCTAGGATACAATTGATTTTTTCGATAGTTGTATTAGAGGTCATTCAATTTATATGTTTACGTATACGCATCTGGGAGAATATGCTCAAATATTTACCCTGATCAATGTACCATTTTTAAAGAATAACGGGGATCAAACTTTGTGGCACTACTGTAAATTCAGAAATTATTGCGTGCATTTATTATTGCGATTTTGTCATTTTAGATTAAAATGCGATTTTAATTTTTGCAATTTTGAGAAAAATCCTGTTTAATTCATAAACAAAATTTCAAAATGCGAGTTTAAATTATTGCGTTTATAACCCTGTCTCATTTTTCGCAATAATAAAAACATCGCAATAATTTCTGAATTTACAGTAATTAATTTGCATCTGTTTACTTCTGAATGCCTCACTTCAACTTAATATAGAACTTCTTTATTGTTAGCATTGAAACAACAAAAGGGTACATAATCCTCAAGTCTATGTTGCATATGAAAGATCTTTATTTCATGGGGAACTACAACAATTAAACGCTGGTTTATTTTTCTAGATTGGCGATAATTTTGTTTTACAAAAAGGGTGTCTACCACTGACGGGTAGTACGACATATGAAATTTATCCCCACTATTCTTCAAAAATAGTACACCGAGTAATTATTTCGTTTGGGATAATTATTTTAGCATATTCCCCGAGATGCAAATTCGTCAACGTATCGGATACTTTGGATACGTTTTAAATTGACCGACCTCTATGAATACAATAAACCAAAGTACTGAAGTACTGAACATCGGATATAGTAGCACTCTGGTTTGTTGTCATATATATATTATATTAATGTTTGTATATAACAGTTACATGTATATATAATTTTCATCCATTTGTATATCATTCTATTCTACTATTCTAATAATAGTGCAGTGCAAGTGCATGGTGGACACTCTTCTGTGATAATTCGATTTTTCTAATAGATTAGATTTGAGCAGGCATTCATATTTTCCCCCCAAAAGTTGAATCGTATTACCGCCATTTGTGCTGTGTACATACAACTTTTTATTAATATCTTTTAATATTTTAACGCACCAAAGACATTATAAACTCTTATTTATTTCACCTTAACTAATTTTATTTTTGAATTATATTCTATCATATATTTGTAAATATAAAGATATCCGTTTTTTCGGTTAAGTAAGTATTTTTAAATTGCTCATCCGATAAGTGGAGTGCTCCAAATATAAACGGAGGTACATACCTGAACAGAACAGAACAGAACAGATATTCTTCCGCATTCATTAACACAATTTTTCTGTACGTGTGCATAGATATTTTCAATGATTTTTTACTTATATATATATTTTTCTAACGACAAAACATTTTCATATTATTAATTTATTTTCTAAACAAAAATATTTTTATGAGTATTCAATGAAGAAATGAATTTATAACAAGCGATAATGTACGCGTATATAGATCGGTTACCAGTCAAACACGAAAGTTACGTAAGTAGAAATCTCGTCGGCAACAATACATCGGAATGCCCTCACGGTCATCGCGATGTAAAAATGAATTTGAATATTCCAATGTATTGGGCTTTAAATGTGATCAAGTAACACTAGTTTTGTTATATTTATGTATACTTTCTAAACAAAACAAAAATGATCAACTACTACGAAATACCTAGACGATCACTTATGCATGACATAACAATCATACCTTTTCATTTTTTTCCACGTACGTCGAAAATGCAATGACATAATAAACAACAGTAGAAAATGGGTCAAGCTCAATATAAAACAACCTATTCATTCAGTAAATGGTTCGATGTCGACTAAATAGATAAAGAGGTCATTAAATATCTATAGTTTGATGAAATTCTTTGTCTTCCCAGCTGTTGACAGGTAAGTTATGCATACTTGTTTTCAAATAAGTGGAATGTTACTGAATTGTTTTTTTTCCTTAATGTAAATGTACGGTTCCGCTGAGTCAAAATCTAGGATGATATGGCATTTACACAAAATCATATTTCTGACTATCTTTAAATTAAGGTTAATCATAATCTTTTGACAAATATCGCCGTATTTACTCTGAATACAGACAACCCTGTGCACATGGTTAAGTTTTAAGACATGACAGGAACCACAATATTAGATTTTAAATGCATTTTATATTGAAAATATTTTAAATTTTGATGGATTTTTAGATTTATTTTTTTTTTTCGTTCTCACAGAAGGTGTAAAAAAACCAAGTTTGGAAAAATGTTTGAGATGTTCTTACTGGGAAAATAATAAGTATCTGACAACAATAGGTGATTTAAACTTGAAATTCGGGTGTTATTGTTGGCTCTCCTGTGGAAACGACAAAAAAAATCTCAAAATCATGTTAAGTGTAAAATTTACTGAAACATAAAAAGGCATTTAAAGTTTAGTTATCAAGTTTCTGTCATGCCTTAAAACTTTACCAGGTGCACAGGTTTGTTTGTACTCACGACTCGAGAGTAAATTTGGCCGCGTAAACAGTCATATTTTTCAATTCCTTCTGATGAACCTAGGCTCAAATCTGTATATTTGTAATTTATTTAATTATAGCGTTGACAGTGTAGTCATATTTCCCTAAACTTTTTTTTTTTTGGTCAAATAATCATATCGGTGTTTGGTGAAGATTGTATATAGTCACGTCGCTGTGAGATGTATTTTAATCTCTTCTATGCCTGTATTTCTTGCATGCACACCGCATAGTGCAGCTAGATGAACATTGATTTCTTGTTAAAATGATCTATTTTATATCATTTATTTATTAGTACCTGTATATACTCAGATAATTTATATGTTTATAACTATTTTTGTCTGAGGCCGTAAACTAGAACTTGGTTAATATTAAATAGGATGCCTACATGCCTCCACATAATTATTAACGACTAAGCCATCGGTTCTACAATTGTGTACAAAGGGAGATAGCTCAAATGAAGATATTGTCGACATATCTTTCTTCGCTTAATACAAAGCAATGTTTGATTTTGATTCAAAGCAAAATGGAAGTGATCTTGAACCCCTCATTGATCACGAGCACTTTTATTTTCCAATGGGACTGTATTTGGCTTCTGAACAGGGGATACATATATCGTTCATGCATGGTTATTGTAACTAGATACAAATGTGAAAGTTCGTGTTGGTAATGTTAATTATCAACACGTAACAAAAACATGTGTTATAACCACATAATTGCCCTGTTCTCATTGACGACAAACGTGTTTCTAACAGCGGGCGGGAAACTCATTTTGTCAACGTCGAGCAAAATGACACCGCGGGACAATAAGATAATCATTGACATTGACATATGGTATTCGAGGACTATTATAGTTTGGAACTGTTTGGAAGCTTTGTAATAATGAAAATATTACTGTGGAGAATTGAACAAGTATCTTCCTACAGATTTATTAATTTTTCTCACGTTTTAGCTCACCTGACCCAAAGGTCCTACATGTGATCTTTTGCCCTCACTTTGCGTCCGCGGCCCATAAACTTTCCCCTTTAAAATAATTTATTCTCCTCTCAAACTGCTGGATGGATTAAAACCAATGTTTGTCTGCTTTTTCTGTAGGATATCAATTATAAAGTTTGTAATTTTTGTCCAGGATGATCAACCAACATTTCTACTTTGTCTATAAACAGAACATATAGGCGTCAAACTAAAGTTTGGGTGAAAATCCCTAAATATTTTAACACTTAGAGAGAAATTGTCCTGTAAAAATGTAACAAGTTATATTCACCCTGAAAATTGAAGAAAAATCTGTCTGCCTTTTTTGGAGTTTTGCCCCTAAAATGTTCATTTTGATAATGAATTTGTTGGTTTTTCTTTGCCATTGTTCCAAAAATTATTGGAGCCAGATTAAAAGTGAGAATTGTAAAAATGATCAGCATGACAAGATTTATCCACCCTAAAAATTTGTAAAAAATCTAACCATTCATTTTTTAAGTTATTGCCCCTGGTTTTTGTTTCAATTCTTATCAGTTGTTGACAATTATCGAGAAAAATAAAGGAACTAGGATAAAAGTGCAAATTGCACAAAGGATCGACATGCCAAGAATGAAAATTGCAGAAAAATCTGTAGACCTGTTTTGAGTTATTGATCCTACGATATCATTTTTGCAGGCTTTTGCTGTTATTGTGGAAAATATAGAAGCTTGTTTAAAATTGTAAACTGCAAAAAAAAATGATCCGCATGACAAGGTGAAATTTTCAGATAAACCTGTTGACCTGTTTTTGAGTTATTTCCCCTGAAATATACCTTCTTTTAATTTTTGACATTTTTTGCTGTTAGTTTGAAAACTTTTTGCGCTATGTTAAAAGTGTAAACTGCAAAAATTATCCGCATGACAAGATCTACTACTCTGAAAATTTTATAATCCGTTTTACAGTTATTGCCCCTGAAAAGTTCCTTGAAGTTTTAGCTGTTATTTAAATCAATATAGGAGGTAAGTTAAACATGCAAGTTGCAAAACTCATCAGCAACACGAAGAGTCGCCTATAGTATATGCATAAAAAAGTCCTAATTAGCAAACTGGCGATTTTTTTTTCACTAGGTGAGCGATATAGGAACAGATGTGCCCTTGTTTAAGCATTTGTCAAGTATGTGATAAATAGATAATAACAATTCGCCTTTGTATCATCACTCGACCCGTATGAGCCCTCTGGTTGTGTCTTGTGCTAATATTTATTCCCCCGCTTTAAAAAAAGGGGGGGGTATACTGTTTTACCTCTGTCTGTCCTTCCGTCAGTCCATCCGTCAGTCCGTCCGTCCCATGAATATTTTCGTCGCATTTTTCTCAGGAACTACTTGACAAGGATTTCTGAAATTTGGTTTCATGGTTTATGTAAGTAAGTTACACCGTGTGATGCGTTATCAGATTCATCACTCAACAACTTCCTATTTACCGAACACTTGTATTATTTTACACATGATAGCCAAGTTGAAAATTTTCGTCACATTTTTCTCAGGAACTACTTGACAAGGATTTCTGAAATTTGGTTTCAGGGTTTATATAAGTACGTTACACCGTGTGATGCGTTTTCAGATTCTTCACTCAACAACTTCCTGTTTACCGAACACTTGTATTATTTTACACATGATAGCCAAGTTGAAAATTTTCGTCACATTTTTCTCAGGAACTACTTGACAAGCATTTCTGAAATTTGGTTTTAGGGTTTATATAAGTCAGCTATACCGTGTGATGCGTTTTCAGATTCATCACTCAACAACTTCCTGTTAACAGAAACATTTCGGCGGGGGTATCATCAGTGAGCAGTAGCTCACAGTTTTACTTGTTGTGTATGACTTAATTTACTCAAACAAACACTCATTTGACAATGACAAATTTTCCTGGCAATTGACTATTTTTTTCTACAATGACTTTTATAGTCGGACAATTGAATTATTGGTAAATATGAGCTGTATAACTCAAATAGATTAAAATTCACCTGTATAACATTGTGCATCGACCATTTACGGACATGGCTGGTATTAAAAACATTTGTCAACTTTAGAACGGCACTTAAACTCTATTCAATATATATGGAATTTTTCACCTTCTCATTTGAAACATAGTACTTGTGCTACCTTCTCTCGAGAGAGATGGTAAGTAATGGCGCTGAAAGCGATGCATAGGGATAGTGATCCGGCGGCGACGGCGTTAACTAACTTCTGCTGAATATTTCAGAAGATATAAGACCTGGATGATTCATAGTTTGTATATAGATGTCTTATGTTATGAAATTTCCGTCTGTCAAATGTTCATTGTCCTTGATCTCATTTTCATACCTCAGTGACTACTTGAAAAAAAGTTATGATTTTTTGTAATGTTAATTTCTCTCTTATTATGAGTAATAGAATAAGTATATTTAGTATGTGAGTACATTGCAATGTCCTTATGCCTGTCAGACACTTATCACTTGACCTCGACCTCATATCATGGAACAATGAAGAAAAAAAGTTAAGTTTTCGGTGTCAAGTCCATATATCAGATACTATAAACAATAGGTATACTATATTTGGTGTACGAAATGATTGTAAGGTGTGCATGTCCAACTGGCAGGAGTCATCTGACCTTGACCTCATTTTTTTTATCGTGTTAAGTTTATGTGATACTTGTAGTAAAACTTTATATTTAGGACTATCAAAATAAAACCAATAGTTAAGAAAGCAGGCGAGATATTTCAGCGTGTGAACTCTTGTTTTATTTTTTTTATAGAGAGGTCTTCAAAGCAGGTGAAAATCCATGTGTTGGTAGTTTTGTTATGACTATTTTGTTCATCTTGCCTCCGAATGTCGTTTATTTATTTTGTTTTCTCATTATTTAAGTTGTGTGGTGGCCATGATAAAGTCGGTGTTGCTGAAAGTGGCGTTAAATACTAGCAAATAGCGAGGTTGTGTTATTCTTGACAAACAATCAATTATTTAAATGTTCAGAAAAGGGTTTTAAAATATAAGAGTTTAGACAGGTAAAACAAACAAGGATTTCGCACACAAGAAAAACACGTAGTAAATCAAAAAGTTTGTAAATTGTGTCTTGGGATTTAATTTATCAACAGTTTTCCCATGCGTCTGTCCAAATGTCCTTAAAAATAAACTCATCTTAGATACCAGGATTAAAATTCTGTACGCCAGACGTGCATTTTGTCTACAAAAGACTCATCAGTAAAGATCGAATCAATAAAATTAAAAGGGTCAAATAAAGCACAAAATTAAAGAGCATTGAGGTCCCAAATCCCTAAAATATTCTTAAATAAAAATGCTTTGTTCCAATTTCATGAAACTTCTCTGAAATATTTAAATTATTTGAAGGAGGCTTTGTTTCTATTTTGATAATTTTTTTTCCAGAGTTATGGGTTTCAGTCGTAATTT